GAAACCTTAAAACCCATAGTACCACCTACCTTCATAGTTGAAACGTTTAACTGACTAACAGAAACAAGAATACTTGGTCTTGTCATATGCAGAAAGCGAAAAGATATTCATATGGGTGTATCAGAATGCTCAAAAGATCTTTACTTCGAAAGAAAGTCTTTCAATGAGTATTGGTAATTCAAAGGCTGATGTTTCAAATGATGTTCAAGTAACATTACCATAAAGTTCGTTATTAGACTCAAGGTGCCAGAAATTCTAACTTCCAGTAAAAACATTTTCTTGGCTAATTCATACATGGTTGGATAGAGCACGATGACCTGAGTAAAAAAAGTGCTTTTAACTTTTGAAAAAAATTATTTACAGTGGAAAAATTTGAAAAACTTGAATGATTCATTTTTCGAAATGTCGTTAGTTGTGAAAAAGCTCAATTTTTTTCCATTCACAGGTCCTTTCAACGTTTGAAACTATATTTTTCGTATTCAGCATTAAAAACTGAATACAAAAATGATGTTTAATTGAATTCAAACGTAAAACTCGATTGAGTCTGGCTTTGGGGATAATACCATTAAAACTGGTACATGCCTCTCTTGTAAACCTAAGCAGTTTTGTTTTTGAAGAGATGGAGCGGATTTTTTTCCTTCATTAGAATCGCCATCAAACGAGCTTTAAAAGTATGGATTGCTTCTTTTTGCTTACATTAAACACATTATAAAGAGATTATTGTTAGTAACTATCTAAAAGCAAAAGCAAGGAATCATATTTTTCTCGCTTATAAACACACATAAGAATGGCTAGTGGACATGCCACAGCATCACTACCAAGTTTTTATTGTTATAAATGTGATCAACATATTGTACCTATTGTGAATTCAAAATGTCCCAACTGTAATGAAGGATTTATTGAAGAGGTTGCAGCTGTCCAACAAGTACCAGGAAGGCCTAGACAACATATGTTAGGAACACCATTTGGACTTAGTCAAACCATCTTTGTCGGCGGAATGCCTTCCGAAGGCGCAGGAAACGGATTTGAACAAATGCTTCAAACATTCATTCATCAAATAACTGGAGGATCGGCCGAAAATATACCATTCAGAAATATCATTATGCAACCGGGTAGTGGCCTATCAAATCATCAAAATCTCTACATTCCTTACGCAATTTTTAAATCAATTTGAAAATTCTGGTCCTCCATCTGCAGCATTAATACTATTCCAACAGTGAAAATAACAGCTGAACAAGCACGTGATAATCTATAGTGTGCAATATGTATGAATGAATTTAAACAAGGCGAAGACCCAAACCGTTTAAATTGTACTCATCATTTTCATGAACCGTGCATATCACGTTGGTTAAGACTCGATGGTACATGTCCAACATGTCGAGTTATATTAGATGATTAAAATACTAGTAATCATGAATATTTTAAACAACAATCACAATATGCTCCAACAAACAGTTCATCAAATCAGAATAATCGGAGAGGTAATGGAGGTGGAGCAGCAGGTGGTGGAAACGGTTCATCAAATGGACCATCTTTTTCTGGTAGTCAAGGAGGATATAATCATAATATAATGGAAAAAGAAAAAATATTCAACAATTAGAAAAAAACATATATTCTTAAAAATGGTACATGCCTCTCTTGTAAACCTAAGTAGTTTTGTTTTTGAAGAGATGGAGCTGATTTTTCTCCTTCATTAGAAGCGCCATCAAACGAGCTTTAAAAGTATACATTGCTTTGTTTTCCATTTTGCACTGCTGGTGAGAAAATTCATTTTCTCTAAATCAGCAAATTTTTCTGTAGGTGCGACTTATGATTACTAAGATAGGTTCACACACACATTTGACTAGTTAAAGTAAAGACGTCTTTTCCTTATTCATTTCTTCATTCTGATTGTGTTACATATATATATATAGTAATACAGACAATTCTGCAACCACGTTTAGTACATTTGTACGCGTGGTAAAATTCTTTTTTGTCATGGGTACCTTAAGTGAAGAGAATAATTTAACTCAAAATAAAATATTCTGTTGAAAATCTGATAGTAAATAATCAAAATGCAAATGAGAATAATGAGGATGAAATTAATGGTGAATTTCATCCCACCCATCAACAACAACGGAATATGAGATACTATGAGCGAAAACGTGGGCAAAATGATTCTTTTGAACAAATTCCAGAAGGCACACCAAAACGTAACAAAGTACATCAATTTGATGACAATCAGAGAATTTCAAATGATCTGAATGTGAATCGGAGTCAAAATCAAGACCCAAATGAAGATATGGTTAACAATTGTAATAATAACCCTACAGCAGCGCACTTTACTATAAAACGTACATACGTAAATTCAAAATTTACGAAAACGTCACGTCAACAACAAAAACGTGAGTCTTTTCCACCATTTAGGATTCGATTTAAAGATAATCAATATTCAACAGAATTAGCAATCATTAAAGCTATAAATCGGCAGTGTAATATAAATTTGACATATGATCGCTACTCACCGTATAACAACAAAAATAGTTATTTACTCTATGCAAATTGGTTAAGCCAATTCGATTCGTTAAAAGATCTAAGTAAATGGCCACAAAAAACATGTGACCTTGAATATGAAATAGACATGCCCAATAAGACTCCAACGTGCTATTCTATCGTGGTATTAAATGTACCACCGAAATGGGATGCCTATCAGCTTGAAAACGATTTCAAAATGCAATATTCAACTGTAGTTAAAGTTGAGCGGTTATTCATTAATGGTAGAAAACTAATATCAAAGGTACGTGTCGATTGTTCGGACAGTCGGGAGGTAACTGGAATTCTAAAACAAAAGAAAATCTTATTAGACGAAAATAACACAGCTTATCCAGTTGAACCGTATATCCCACCAATGAGAGTTTTACTAATACCAGTACTCACGAGGGAACTTTCTTAACTGGAAAATCACTTTTAACCTGAAACAGAGTGGGTCCTAGGTAATCGAGTGAGCTGATTCCGAATATCACAATGATTTTTCCCCTAAACCATTTCTAGACCACATTTTGAAAGAAAACCAGGTCTTGGGTCAAAAATCCTTTGAGAAAAAAAACCGATTATGCTGATTTCGAATGTCGTTTCGGCTAGTCTTCCTACTATTCCATCAACGGCACATTGCTGTTGAACGTCGATAAAAACGAAGACAGAAAGTGCCTTTGGAGAAATAAAAGACTACCGTCGTGACAAAACTTAAAGTGTGCTTCAAAGGCACTTTTTGTCTTCTTTTTTATCGACGTTTTGGCTCTTTTATGTGGAAGGTGGCAATGTGCCGTGATGCAACAGTATGGAGACTAGCAGAGATAAAATTCAGAATAGGAAGATTGTGTTTTAACTAAGTTCAAGATATTTTACTCGTAAAACCGGTGAAAGTCAATTTTTAGTAAGTTTAAATGCCAAATCGGAGAAAACTATTTTATACAGACAACCCAAACATGATCTACAACATAAACACATCGAAATTTTTTCGTCTTAGATTTCAAAATCAGTCTTCTTCGACTAGTTTCCAAGATGGGCTCTAGAAGCCCGTATTAGTACAAACTAGCATAAAATTCATAATCAGCATTGAAAATTATCTCTGACTATACATGTTTCAAGAAAAGAGGAAGAGAAGATGAGGATTTGAAAATTTTCTTCTCAATTCATTTCAACAAATAAATTTAGTTCCTACTCTTCCGATTTAGTAGCGCTGATCTTCTACTTTCGTCCAGATACTATCATACTTCTCCGCTTAATCAAGTTTTCCGACTTCTATCGAACAATTTCAACTCGTTGAGTGCAATCAGAGATGGGTAAAAGTCCGGTCTGATAGACTTTCCACTCGGACTGGGACTGAAGACGTAGGAGACTTGGACTGGACCGGAACTGGAGACATAACAGACGTGGACTTTTTTTGCCAGATTTTTGAAAAAAGATGAAAAGAATAAAGAAATTGAATTCAGTTTTTTATCTTTTTCACAAACTACAGTAAAACCTCCCTTAGTGGACACTCCTGTATAGTGGATACCTCCTTATAGTGGACACCTTGAGGTCCGACGGAGCATTTTTTGCTGGATTTAAACCTCTACATAGTGGACACTCTCTTTAGTGGACACCTTCCATAGTGGACACTTTTTTTCAGTCCCTTTCATACCAAATACCTCTCTGTAGTGGACATTGATTTGGAGTATTCTCGTTTCGTCGACAAATCGGCCACTTCAAAGAATATAGATCAGAGAACAGCAGAGGCGGGAGGGGCGGTGTGAGAATGAGTTGTCGACGAAACAAGAATACTTCATTGATTTAAATTAATAAAATGTTCTATGATGAATAGGATCAAACAGACACTATATCTTTGATATGCTTTAATGACACATAAAAGACAGAAAAAGAATTGTCCGTCTTGATGAATAGTTGAAAAGGAAAAAAGAAAACAATGGTGATATTGTTTCATTTGTCTCGTTTATCCTATTTGTCCCATTTGCTTCATTTATCTTATTTCTAACTCTCGAGAAAGAAAAAAAGAGCATAATGTCTCAGCGAAAAGCATTAACTTTAGAGGAAAAAGTTACTTTAATCAAGGATAATCAAAATGGTCATGGTTTATCAGTTCGCGAGTTGGCTGATAAATACAAAATATCAAAAAGTAGTGCTGCCAATATTCTTCGTCGGAGTGAAGAATTTTTACTTGAATAACTTGAAAAAAGACTTAACCTCTCTAAAGTGGACACCTCTGTATAGTGGACACTTTTGGGAAGTCCAGAAGGTGTCCACTATACAGAGGTTCCACTGTACCAACAAAAAGTCCTTTTTCTTTTTAATATTCAAAAAAATTTTGTTGCCTTTTTTGTTACTATAGCCATATAAAGAAACAGTTACTCTCTGACAAACAAGAAAAAGAATGGAAGTGGAAAACAATGTATGATGTGGCCTACATCGGGCTTAAAGCTTAGAAGACTCATGTAACCACAAACAACTACGTCTTAATAGATCAAAAGAGTTCAGCCCTTTCCTAATGATCATAGTATTGAATTATGTTAAACTGTAGTTCTCCTCGACTAATTTCTTGTCACACTTATCTTTCGTTTTTCTCCTCCTACCTTATATATAAATCTCTTTAAATAACTTTATATGAAGTTATACCTGTTTAATTGAATGTCGACAAAATCATTCGATATACAATCCACATCAGTAAATGAAAATGGTAAAATATTAAGGTAATAGCAATGATCATAATAGTCCCGATGACACATCACGTATCAATTCTGTTTCAACCAAAAATCATTTCTAAACGAACAAATTATCATCGACGTAGTTAATGTTGATTTCTTATTGAAAGAAAAATAGAAACTAAATTCGGTTAAATTAAATAATGGCAACAGAATATTGTTTTGTAGACGATAGCCATCAATAACATCATTTACATAACCAAAATTTATCGCTAAAGTTTTTAATAACAGAAAACTTTTAATTAATAATTCAACTAAACCATAATTATTAACGGTATCCGGCAGAAATCTTAAAAAGAAAGTTCAAACATAGAATAATAATGTAGTAATACAAAAGAAAAATTTAGTGTATTAAGCATGACAGAAAAGTCAATAATGATCACTTGCATCTTCACGCTTATGTGCCATGGACAGAACGACATTTATAGAAAGTTTAGTCTTCATTTTGAGCAAACTCATATATGAATAACCAACCGATCTCAGTTTGTTCTATTTACTTTTCAATATTCGGAACAGACTATCGCATTGTGTGGTAACAAACAGGCAGATTTCTGTCAAAGGCTGATTGCTTAAAGCTAAGGTAATTAGAAACATTAGGATTAATATTATAAGAACTAATAAAATCACAAGACATGACAAAGCTGATTGGCAAGTATGTTTTTTTGAAGTTGTATATCTGTTACGTAATACAAATGTTGTTACCTTTTTCTTATTTCTTTCTGTAAATAAATTGCCCTTACCCTACATTAACCCTTTACCTCCCTTGGTCACTGCAGTGATCATTTGTAGGTCGATTATAAAAAATTAAGCAAGTATGGATTTTAAAAACATTTTTTGTAGTAGACTTCATGAGCTATCGGCAGGTAAAACGAACATTTCATTTCATCGCTTCGTCTCTGAAATATGAACCTTACATAATCGATCATTTTGAAAAAATTCTAAAAAGTTGAACTTTTTTGAACAAATTTTTTTCTAGCTACAGCCAGTAGAGATCTGGAGGACGCGTTGTGTACTTTATATCCACGAATATGTCTACTTGTTAATTGGCCACCGTTCGAAAGTTTCACAATAGCTTGGCGAATCAAAAACGGTAAGGCACAAGATGGACTCTGGAGCCACTAGTGAGATGACGAAGGGGAACGGTGAGCATCGTGAATATATTTTTTGTAAATTTTATCATAGGAGAAGTTAAAATAATATTTATCATGTCTTTCAATGAATATTTTATCACTTAATGAAAACCGGATGTTAATTTTTAAATGTGCGTCAAAAATCCATGTGTTCTTTTGAAATAGTTTTCAAATGAGTAAAATTAAATCGAATAGATATCACTCTTGTCCACTCAACACCCTCGTAAAAGAGAGACAAAATAGGATTTTTTCTAGCCGTTTAGCTTCTCTCTTTTACTCCATATTCACTGGAGTACCCAGACTACCCTGCACCAAGGTCAAAGCGCTTGGTCGATCTGTCCGTATCGTTGACATATTGGAGGGACTAGTTCCCTGTTTGTGTGGTTATTTATCACTGATTCTTCTAAAATCCCTATGGGGGTTAAAGGGTTGAAAAGCTTTCAAAATCGAGCTTAAAAGGACTCTATACAGCATCAAAGGTTCTGTTTACAGTGCGTGCCATCCAGACCCTCAAAAGTCACGAGTAATTTCAACTCTGTTATTTCAACTATTCTTTTTCAACTAATATTAAAAATTTTAGTACTCACTCAGAATTCATTATAACCATTTCAGAACTTGCGAATGTCTATATTCAAATGATAACAAATCTTCAGAAGTACGTTGAAAAATCATGATTTTCTCGAAGAGTTTATGAAAAAATCCTAAGCAAAAACTTTTTGTAATTTTAATCATATTTGGCAAACAAAATTAATCGTAACAAAAGCTGAAAGTTAGTGTGGTCGATTATGCGTGTTCTGTCAGATTTCAGGATTATCCCCAAATGATACCCGATCTGGAGCTCAAAAAAGTTCGCGATATCGCGCCCAAAATCCTGAAGAACAAAATTTCGCTTGGTTCCAACTGAAGTGAGCGCTCCGAATTATCTATTTATGTGAAAAATACTATATTACTACTTTAAATATTTAGAGAGTTAGTTTGATTTTCTAAAGATCTTATCTCCAAAGATCAATTTTGTCAAATAATGATAAAAAATTATCTTTTTTGATTTTTTTTGAGTATTTTGCTTGCAAAAACGGATCATGGGATTTCTTGTTTCGATTAGAAAAAATCGTAAATATCTTGCCTCTTTCACCCATGTACATTCTGTTTTGAAATACAAAGTAATTGATGTAATAATTACAAACTAGTAATAATGTTACAATTAATTATTCATGTCGCATACTTTATGTAAAAGTTCCTCTTTATTCATGACAAAAAGATACGTAAAATTTCATCGCTAATCACGAATAATCCGAAATAATAGGGGTCACTTATGTACCCGCTTTTTCACGTTCGAATATCTGACAGTGTCCTAAAGTGTTAAGTAATTTCTAAGCAAAAATGTTCACAACTTTCTTCCAGATACAAACGAGTGGTCTAGTCTGGATGAAAGTACTAAACTTGCTTATAGAATTCTATTTACTCAGTTATCACAATATTTTTGTAAATATCACTCAACAGCTGAAAGTCATCAAAAATTAGACTTTTACTTTTTATTTTTCTTTACTCTACGTTATTATTTTTTGAAATAGTGGAGTAATATGTAAACATTAAAGATGGAAGATTTTGTGGAGCAGATAAGTCTCTGTTTCTTGGGCCTAGAACGAGTTTGTTAACTTTTTAACGTTTTCCAACAAAAGTGACCTATTATATCTAATCATAGTGAAATAAGAGATTTTTAATAATATACTGTACCTTTAAGTGCATAGATGAGGTATTTTATTTGAAATATTCTCATAATCATAACTAGTAATTATAATACGATCATAATCGAACAATCTGAATTTGACATTTAGTGTATGTAACGGGTGGCGCATAATAAAGTTAGTTCTTTATTTTTAAGGCACTTCCAAATGATCTAAAAATCTGGCTCTAGTCTCATTCGATAGAAAATTGAATTCTCTACAAAACCTGCTTTTTGAATCTCTGATAGCACTTTTCTCGTTTGAGCACCACTCAAAATATTAAATAGTGTTAAATGCTCAAACTGCGACGTGCTTTAGTCATATGCTTTTTTGAGATTTTTAGCCCATTGTCGGAGGTTCAATAGTTGCTTTTCTAGGTAGAAAAATAGAGAATTTTGTGCTCTATCGGTCTCACTCATTTATAACTTCATATAATGTTTTCGCTACGTCAGCTGGACTCCTAAATAGTTCTCAACCGGCTTTTCACGCTTTTTCAAATTAAATTAATTTTATAATTAATGGTTTCAATTGAGAAACTTTGTTTATATATCAAAAGATGCAGAAATTAATTCTGTGTACGATAACAAGGCTAAAACCCTGGATTCATAACGTTTTACTGCTTTTATAAGCAAAAAATAAAAATCTGTGAAAAATAGATTCAAAAGTTAGATTTTTTTAGATTTATCACCTTTTTGCAAAGAGAAATTTTCGTAGAAAACTTAACTGTAGAATTTGGAGAGATGCAGCATTTTCCGGTGAATCTTCTGATGTTTTCAAAATTCTTATGAAATCTGTTCTGCGATCAAGGCAAATATTTTTCTGTTTTCGGTATGTCGCAGTTCGAGAATTTAGCACTATTTAATATTTTGAGTGATGCTCAAACAAGAAAAATGCTATCAGAGATTCAAAAAGCAGGTTCTGTAGAGAATTCAATTCTCTATCGAATGAGACTAGAACCAGATTTTTAGATCATTCAAAAGTGCCTTAAAAATAAAGAACAAAAGTGTCCCGTTTATTATGCGCCACCCGTTAGGTATATAGGGAAATAATATTAAAATATGACTATAAAACTTTAATTCTATATTTAAAGTACGAATATTTGAGGTTATTAATCGTTGTGTGTCAAATGATAATACAGCATTTTGGATTACATATTGTTCGAGTGAACTGTTATCGGCAAATAGAGCTGAAGTTGTTTCTCTTGACAAACATAAGATGTCATGATATCTATTAGCTATCATATGCAATAACATTGAAAATAATGATGTATATAATTTTAATTCATTTTGTTTTATGTTGATCAAATATAGATATTTTAATTGTGAAAAAGTAGCCAAAAAATAATTGCTTAACTCGTCTGATAAATATTCAACTTGTCCACATCGATATTCATGACCTAATTTGAGTGAAAATACATTTCGACCATAATAAGGCAAAATTATCGACGAATAAAATTGAAAAATTTTGTATGAAACATTTGAGAGATCAATATCAAGTGTATAATACTTTAATAACTGATTAAATTTCTCATTGAGACCGAAAAATGAATACAATATATGTGGTGGTGATAAGTAATCAAAAATTTCCATGAGACTATCATTAGATAAATCTTCGAATGTCGTAACGTAAACTGATATCGCGGACATAATCACTAATTAATTGCTAAAAAGAAACATGCAAAAACCTCAAAGAATTAATAAAAACGTATATTACAAAAGATTGTTAAAAATGCCTGCGTCCGATTTATTCAAGTATGGAGTCTCATTGTCGTTAAAGACAGAGAAAAATAGAGTAAACTACAAAGTGACATGTAGATGTTTTTCTAAAAGGCAGAAAACAAACGTTGCAGCTTCATTTCGAACTAAAATGCAATCGTAGAAATGCAATTCAATCACAGAATGATGTATTTTTACTAAATTCATGAAATATTAATACTGATTCATTGGAAAGAACTAAGTAAATTAACTTTTAAAAGATAATGAACGGTTTACTCATTTAAGAAGAAAGTCGAAGTTGAAGCATTGGTATAAACTATTGTGGAAGTGGACAGATCTATAATCTTATCCATAAAAATTATAAGGTTTTTTCTAGCTCAGAATGAAAATTGTATCAAAAACCAGAGTAAATAATTCTCGCTTTTGCCTGAACTCAACAATTTTGAAACACAAGAAGCTCTTTTGGCGGATGTGAAAGAATTATGCATGAGAAAATGAGAGATTCAAAGATCAACATTTCCAATAAGACAAGGGTATTTAGTTTACAGTTAGCTAATGCATATTTTAAAAAATACACACTTGTGTATAAAACAGTTGCTTAATCTCCTATATACAGTAGGTCCAAAAATTATTGGCCCACCCGCATCGTATCAGTTTGTTCTCTTTGCCATTTGAAAACGATATATGCTAGGAAACCGCCGTTTTCACCACATTGTAGAAGGTATTATCTAGTCTATATGTAGGTATTATGAGCATCTAATTTCGTTTTGTTTTTGTTTTATACGAAAAATACTGAAAATGAGTGGTTTTTCTTCATTGAAAAATTATTGGCCCACTTTCGAAAAAAATTGATATTAGTGAAAGATTTTAATTTAGTTTATGAGGCTGCCTTAAAATAAATACGTCAGAGGGAAAAAATTTAGTTACGTCATGAAAAACCCATTTCTTTTGGTCAAAAATTCTTCTAAAAATGATCTATTTAAGTATCATTTTATATCATATCTCTAAGATCGTAGATGTGATATTTATGTGTCATTTTTAACTTCTGATCTATAATGATCATTTTCTTACAATTATATTTGTCACATTTTATGATCATAATTAGATCATATCATTTATGTGTATTAGATTAGTCATTTATGGGACATTATGACACAAACGGAAGTAGCAGTTTTTATAGAATTATGCGCATTTATTTTCTACCACTTTCCACAAACACTGTACAGAGTTGAGCTTAGAGACTAAAAGATAGTAAACTTTATTTCTGATATTTTTTACTCGGAAGCCGGATCCAGAAAAACCTTTCTTCAGGGTGAAAACCCCTTTTTAAACTTTATTTTTCGTTTTTCGTCATGAAGGAAGCGTTTTCCACGGTGGAGAGCCGGAGGCTAATTAATCAAAATTACGAGTTGTTTAAAGTTCAAAGTGAAAAATAAAAAACAGAAGGAACAAAAACATGTATATTTGTATAGCCATGTGATGTAGTGGATATAGCATCATAGACTTCTGATTTACAGGTTCAGGGTTCGAATCTCTGCACGAACTGTTTCGTATTTTTTCTTCTTTACATTTCTTATCTCATAAATAGTCTTAAAACGAGCTAAAAATGCTCTAAATAGGATGGTAATAGGATCATATTTAGATGTTCATATTAAGATGATATTTATCCCATAAAAAAATGACATAATTATCACTACATTATGATGCAATAAATGAGATAAACATGGAAGAGATATGATTTAAAAATGAGCCATATATGAGTCATTTATGGCTCATTTTTTATCTCATTTTTCACGGCCTGGGATGAGATTGGTTTGAATGTTCCATGCGAAAAAATTTTCCCAACTTGGATCTTTTAGCAAACGCTGGAGAAAACAGAACCAGTGTTTCGTCTTTTCTCGATCTTTAGTAAGCTCATATGTGTTCAAATACCATCCAAAGCGTATATGTGGATGTGTCTCTATCTGTGCGACTCAACTCATGCTGAAATTTGGCTTCTTATTTTGAAACAAAATTCTATCGCCTGAAAAATCTGAGAAAATAAGATAAACAGAATTTTTGACCAAAAGAAATGGATTTTTTATGATCCAACTAAATTTTTTCCCTCTGACGTATTCATTTTAAGGCAGCCTCATAAACTAAATTAAAATCTTTCACTAATATCAATTTTTGTTCGAAAATGAATTTTTTCGAGAGTGAGTCAATTGAAGAATTATTTCGTAAGGTGAAAATTTTTAATAAGAATAATAGGACTAAAGTCACCTTTTTTGACTTTAAGAGAGTGAGTCAATAATTTTACCTAATTATTCAATAAGTCAATAATTTTACCTTAATTATACCTTTTTTGAGAGTGAGTCAATAATTTTTAACTAAAGAAAAAACACTCATTTTCAGTATTTTTCGTTTAAAACAAAAACAAAACGAAATTAGATGCTCATAATACCTACGGTGTATTCTCGTTTCGTCGACTCACGAAAAATATTCTCGTTTAGTCGACTTTTATAAAAGAAATTTATAGTTCTCGTTTTGCCGACTATTTCCTTAATTGATATGTTTACTAATTAAGTGATATGTATGAAAATTTATACGTTATAATACAGAAAAAGAACAAAAAACTTAGAATTTTTTAATACCACTCAGTTTCATATCTCCATCGTGAAATTCATTTAATGTGAATTAGTGTTCTTTATATCTTTTTTCCAAATCAAGAATGCGCGTATTTCGTTGAACATATATTTTTTACGTGATGGTGTTGCACCCGTGGCAGAAGTTTGCGTTATAATAGCCGTATTCAACGCAAAATCTTCTATTAAACTGTTAAGAAATAAGTAAAAATTTGGATGATGAACATGATAAAGTGAAGAATTTAGTCTGCAATGCCATCCCTCGACGTTATTGTTAGTACGATGACTTACGAAATCAAAATAATTCCACAATAAATAATGAAACATTGCATTATCATCTACCCATGTTGTTGTAAAATAATCAAAAAATGGTTCAATATTTTGAATTTATTAAAATCGTTCACAATTTGCACCCATAAATCCGGAATCTGATTTGGTGGCATAAAAGCAAGTGAGGCAGTTTTTCTGTATAAATTTCGAACATTTATATCATTAATATCTGTAGATTCAGCATTATTAAAGGCAGACTGGAATCCTAATACTTGTAAATGTTTATATAAACATTTATTAAAGTGAAAGTTGAAGCCTTTTATTGTTGCATTTGGAAATATCATATTTAGAGAATTTATCATGGCAGTTTCAAAATCTATAGTTATATATTTTGGGTTAATAATTAACTGATTTTCATAACAAATTCGTTGAATTGCAGCTAATAAATGTGTATAAGTACCTTGATTTTTATCGGCTAATAATGAATAAAATTTTGGTGTAGATATTTGATTATTATAACTATGAATGGTATATAATTGATAGAATGGAGATGGACATGATGAAAGTGTGCCATCCATAAATAAATGATCACTACTACATAATTGCTGAAGAGAAGATAATGTACCAAATACTGGTTGTTGTTTCTGATCAATAGAGCCTTAGCGTATAGCACATTTTAATGCGGTGCATATGTCGACATTCAGACGCATTTATTATGGTAGAGCGAAAAAACATCCTCTTCTTTCCTTCCACATAGGCTACCTAATGTCACATTTGTATTCCTATATGCGAATAAAAAAGATGTGCTATACGCTAAAGCTCTAATAAGTAGAAAAGGATCTCCATTTAACGTTCGTCGCCATATACCTAATTCATGACAGAACTACAGATAAAAAAGTGCTCTAAAATAAAGATGAATGTTGTTTACCTTCAGTTTTTACATCATTTAATGACTTTGGTATTGGAGGAAAACTTTTACTGCATTATAAAGTGACGTTTTTATCTTTTAAAACGTTGGTGTCGTAGCTATTTGTTGTGATGCAGTAACTTGAACATTAATTAGTTCTTGTTTAAATATATTTGTAACTCGTTTAGCAGACTCTTCAATTCGACGTTTTAATTTATTATTAAATTGTTCAGCTTGACAACGATTTTCATCTGGTAGATGACTGTGTCCTGCCTTTAATACTGGATCGTTTTGATCGTTTTTTATACAACACCCTAGGCACGAACGACTTTCACAGCGCCAGTATGTATTAGTATTTTTTATTTTGCCTCTATAATAACGATAACCATTTAATAAAAGCAGAACAGGTTTATTACGTTTACTATCAATAATTTCAAACATTTTTAAAGTATTGCATAAACGGATCAACGTGATTATATATAGTAGTTTCATAAATACAACATATGCCATTTTCGGATGATTATAGTCTTAGATCTGATATTAAAATTTGGATCTGTTGAATATCTAGTTAATTAGTAGATGCCATTATCGGCTTTTATTTTCAGACTTATTTTTAGAATTATTTTTAGACTCATTATTGGAATAAATTAGAATAGTTAATTACTGTACAGATTACTTTATATTTCATGCCGCAATCTGTTTCTCTGAAAATTGATAAAAATCTTAAAACTTCTTTTTTTTTGTTTGCGTTATAACGACCCTTTGTTGAATATATATATACCTTCGGGAAAAACATCTTTTCTATGGAAGTGAAACATGATGTCTTGTTTTGTTGTCAAACCATTTCACATGTGCCATATTGCTTAAAGAAGTTGAACTGTGAGCATTTATTATTATTCATATTTATCGTTTATTTTTATAGATAAAGATCTTTTGTTCTATTGAACAGTATTTTTATTATTATTATGTCTCTCTCTTTATGTGGATAATTTGATCATATTTAAATTGAAGATCATTTATTGACTCTCTAAAAAGTAGGTAAAATTTTTTGTCATTTTTATTCACAAAATTTTATTATATATCCTCTTGTTCAAAACAAGTTCGTAGTTAGCTTTCGTAAAACATGACAGACTATCTTTTGTTCGTGTCATACTGATAAAAACTGACAGATGTAATGATTCTTTGTTTCTCTAAACATTGTTGTTCAATCAATTTATTTTATATGTGAAGATTGCTTGTGGTTCTATGTAACTTTTTTCTTTTCTTATTCGTTCATCTTTACTGCTGAGATGCATAATTATCCCAATTTTAATACATGCAAGCTGTTTGTATGTAGAGTACTTCGGGTTAATTAGAGGCACTTTTCGAAAGTTTCGTCCTTTTTTTGCTATTTCTTGACCGTTTTTGATCGGAAAAAGTTGCTATTGAACTTGATGGTAGACCAAACATTTTTCTACACGCTCATGTAAAAATCTTTTCAAAAACTCTGGCCAATTTTGAGCCAGATCCAAAATGCGAAGAGCTCCATCAAAGTGCCTCTAGTTACCCCGTAGGGAGTAATTAGAGGCACTTCACTCATACGCTTGGGGTAAATAGAGGCACTCCATTCAAATACATCGAGTTTTAATGTACAATTGCTGGTTAATTAAGCTTAGGAGATAATTAGTTCAAAAATACCTCATTTTGTAGCCCAGATCTTCCTCTCTCTACCATATAGTTTTGAGCTCATTATCATTTAAACTCATTAGTGACTAAATTAATTTTAATGTCTGATAGTTGATATTTTAGGCTAAACGATTATTGATGTTTATAAAGCTTGCTAATTAGTATAAATTAAAACGGTTGTGAACATTGTTTTTGGTGAAACTGTGTTGCCATGCTGTTTACTACCTTTCTGTTTGACGGCATTATTTTTGATTGCACATATAAGACAGTGTCTCAGTAGCCTAAGATACCACTCAAACTTTTTACGATGCCTCGAACTTGTATCAAAAAGACAGAAAGACAACAATACTCGAAAGATGATCTTAAGAATGCTATTGATAGCATTAAAGAAGGTGGAACGATTCGTCAAGTTGCGCGGGATAGTCACATGCCACAGGCAACACTTCAACGTCATGCTGCTGGAGATGTAGAACATTTTGGTCCTGGCCGTCCAACATATTTTACTGTTGAAGAAGAAAAATACTTAGCTAGTGCCTTAACTGTGCTACAGGCACGATTGCTTTGAATCTAAAAAGCTTTTATCATAAATGAAGTATAATTTTTTATTTTTAAGGAATGGGGAGAACCATTAACAACTCATGACTTTCTAGCGATAACAGCTGTTTATGCGAGAGAACTGGGACGACCTAACATGTTTAGTAATGAGATCGCTAGTTATGACTGGTATAACGGGTTTATGAAACGACATGCTGAATTTAAATTAAAAACACCTCAACTGTTGAAAAAATAACGTGCAAATATTTCTGGCAACACCGTAACAAAATGGTTTGATTTAACCGGTATGTGATTCGATCATATATAAGCCGTAGTTTTTACATGTATGTTTATTTTAGAATCTATTTTTGAAAAGCATAAATTGATTGATAAACCATCTCAAAAATTCAGTTGTGACGAAACTGGATTTTCCGATAACAAAGCGACCCTAAAAGTTATTGTCAGAAAAAATAAGAAATTTACATACCAACGTCAGTATGGATCGGGCAAGACCCATATAACAACACTTTTCTGCATTAGTGCCAGTGGACAGATATTACCGCCGTACGTTATTTATAAGTCGAAACGATTGCTTGCTAATTGGTGTTTGAAAGGACCAAAAGGTAAATCAATATTTTTCCGATTCTGTCAAATTATTCATATATCTGATAATTTTCTTGAGACGCTGGATATAATACTTCAAACAACGACTGGATGGAGGAGAAAACGTTTTTCCAGTGGTTTATGGAATTATTTCTTAAACATACAAAAAATATTCCACGACCGTTGCTATTGTTACTGGATGGCCATGCTTCTCATAGAAGTGTTAGACTAATCCAGGCAGCAATAGA